TCAATTCAATTCGTTTGAGGACAATTCAATCAGTGAGCTTCGCACGACGAGAAGAATATGCATTTGTGAGTAATGGATTCTCTCTATTTCTACAACAATAAAAGTGACCAACTTTTGCTTTACTTCCATTAACTGCAATTCTTAAAAATCACTGCGCACCGATGCTCGGCACACCCAAGTCGCCTTAATATTTACTTACACATAGCTTCTTCTCCTCCGACTCTGCTGCCATCTCACCCAAACCAAAATCGAATTGAATTGATTTCAATGGAATGTCATTAAATGAGAAAAAAAAAGAATCGAATTGCGTTGCATCGATTGAGTGTAGAATGTAATGGCATTGGATTGCATTGGATAAATAAAAATATAAATAAAACAACAACTCATGCATATACACGTATGTACATATGTACATATATGTATAGTGATATATGCATACAGAGTTGCATTTGTATTGAACGAATAATGGTAATTGTCTCTAATTGAATCGAATTAAAGGTGCAATTGACAATGTTAACGCAGCGGCGCCAGAGACTAGTCCCAAACAGACCAGCGAGTGAAGAACTTGCAGTCGTTCTCATAAGAGTTGTTGTTGTGCTTGGCATGCGCTGGCGCATAGCATATGTAAGGCGTATCAATAAATAACTTACTATACATACATACATACCTACACATGTGAATACATTCATACATATCTATGTATGTTTATGTTATTACTCATATTCCTTCGAATGATAATTTACATCAATTGAATTGAATTCAAATTATTCGTTCAAACGAATGCGTGATTGAAATTTTTAATTTATTATACGAGCTTATACATACATATGTATGTATATACAAATGTATGTATGTATGAATGCGAAGAGTATACAAAGTAAATTCAATTCAAATGATTTTCGATGAGACTAAAAGTGAAACAGGCGTACATACATACATAAGTACGAGGGGGAGTAACAAAAGTTCGGTTAGTTGGTCACTTTAAATTTGTTTTTGTTCAATCTAAAAATACCAAATTTTTTGCAATTATTTTGTTAGACTTCCTTTCAAATTTTAGAACAACCGACTAAAATGGAGACGAAAAACCGCAGGATAGGTGAGGAGAGCTCAGACGAAATTCCAGCACCATGTGATTCTCTTCGGGTTTCACCGTAATTCACAGCCAATACAAATAAGCAGTGCATGCCAAATTGCATATAGACTAAATGCACTATCTTAACAGACTATTTCCAAGTGGTTCCGAAGTTTCCAGACCGAACATATTTCCGTAGAGGACGAGCACCGAGGAGGTCGACCAAAATCTTCCACTGATAACGTCACTGTAGCTCTGGTGAAGTCTAAAATTGTCGAAGACCCACGGTTGGCACAAGAAATGATTACTTTTTTTGGTTGTGACGTGAATATTAAATAATCTTCGTGGGATACACGAAAAAATCTGTTGGAAATCTGAGACTCAAAAAGAGTCTCGAGTGCATTTTGTTCAATTTTTTCTAAACAAATTCGAAAATCGTCAGTCCAGCAACTTTAGTAAAGTCGTCACTGATGAGGAATCTTGGTTCTATAAATACGATCCAGAAACCAAAGAGCAATCCATGGTATAGAGCCCAACAGGAGCGAATCCACCCCGTAATATCTAAGCAACAAAAATCAGCAGCAAAAGTAATGATGTCGGTGTACTTCACCCGATCTAAAATCGTAGCTGCTATTCCACCGAAAAAGGGTCAGACTGCCCAATGGTACACCGATGAGTGCTTAACAAAGGTTTTCAAATTTCTTTTTTTTGGAAAACAGGAAGGAAGAGGATTTTCCATCATGACAACGGGCCATCAGACACTGCTGAAATAACGAGTAATTTTATTGCGATCTCTAGGAACGAAGAATTACGTTCAGCACTATACTCCGGATTTAGCACTTTGTAACCTCTGTTATTTCCAAAAATAAAAATAAAAAAAATTAAAAAGGAAAGGTCTTTAATGGCAACGAGAAGATAATTTATGCGGTTAATGTTGAGCTTGATAAGCTTAGCAGGCAAGATTTTGAAGCCTGTTTTCAGAAGTGGATCTATAGGCTTAAGTAGTGCACTGAAATCAATGACGATTATGTAGAGTAGATTAAAACAGAAAAATATTACAAATAAATACAAAAAAAAAATTTTTTTTTTTTTTTTTTTTTCAGGTCAACTTACCGAACTTTTGTTAATCCCCTCGTATGTACATATGGGTGTTATAGAAAATAAATTTATTAGTTTACACATTGTATGTATGTACTCCTATGCATACATACATCACCCCTACACCCTAAATTCTATGCAATTGATAATCTCTGTTAGTTCATTCGTGCTAATAAAATGCTCGATATGTCCCAATTTTCAGTTATAGGCTGTAATAAATAAAGGTATATAGATAAATATATATATACATATGTATATTTTAAACTAAATAGGCAACGAATTTTATTTAATTTTTTTATTTTTATTTATTTTTATTTATTTTTAATATTTTATTATTTTCTTCTTCATTTTGCGTAAGCAACGCGCTTATAGCCCAGAAACATTAGCGTGACAGTCGTTTTTTTTCTTTTTTTCTTTTACTTTTTGCCGGAACTGGCAATATTTTTCACTTCATTTGACCCTTACAATGTAGTGAGGATCTATCGCTTTCTCTTTTCCGCTTCGACTAGAATCGAACACTTTCAAAGCTGGAGTGTTCTCATTCATTAAGTCGCTCGCGATGGCTCACTGGCCAATTGTATGATGACAGGAGATATTTCGCTTTTTCCTTCACTTTCGTTCGCTTCGTCGCTGTGCCTAATCTGAAGACAGCTGGACTAATGACACATAGTTTTTGAGGCAGATCATATGATTATATCAATGCGCCAGTCCCTTTTTTAAATTGTTCTTCCAATTTTATCACAGTAGGGGCATGGTATGTATATAATCTCCATCTCGATTGTCTTTTCGAGTTCACAATCTCTGGGTGTGGCATGGCATTCTGTAAGTGCTCCCTCCATAAACTTACTTTCCTCTGGACAATGGTTACCAGATCGCCTTTCTCGTTTTTGCATGAGTATGATTTGTGTTTTGAAACTCACTGCAACTCGCCTATCATGTTTCTCTCTTCAACACCCGACACCTATTCCACCATGTACGTCTCATTTCTGTCCACTACAATTTGGAATGCCTCAACCGTTGTCTTGTTGCTGTGGTGACGGTACGTAGTGAGCTTGAAATATCGCTACACAGTTTCCTTATAGTGGTTCTCAGGTAGCACTGTGGCAGTCGTGTAGAGAACCGGCTAGCCATCAACTGTGTTTAGAACTTTTCGTCGTCCAACCTTCTTGGGAGCCAATCACCAGCACAAAGAAGCAACGCCTAGTGCAAAAACTTGAGTCTTGCTCCTTACAAAACTGAAGACTTGTCTTCCATCTATCACAATATGATATTTTCGTTACACGATTTTCTATCCGGCCACAGCCAAGTAGATAGAATTTTTCTGTGCCCACCTGCATCCAGCCGAACGAGCATCAAATTCGTCACATGTTCAGTGAATGAGCCCAAAAGAAATAATCAACATGTCATTGAGTCACGCCGTTACATCCTCAAAAGTCATTGTTTGTGTGATCCTTGGGCAGAGGGAATCATTTATTCACATTTTTTCCAACATGAAACTTTTTATAATGTAACAGTCGATGGGGAAAGGTATAGAGCCATGATTAATGTTTTTTTCTTGCTTGAATATGAGTATGTTGTTGTGGACGAAATTTTGTTTTAACAACGCTATAGCCCTACGTCCAACAAAACCATCGATTTATTATAGGAAGAAAGAGTTAGATGAAGTCTCTGTCTTGGAAGAAAATATTCGGCACGTTATTGCTGACCTAGCTGCACAATGTCGCCGAAAAATGAGCCTCTCGACTGGCATTGACAGCGCCTTTAAAATAAAGCCAAATTCTTGATCATAACATAACACAAGCTCCCAACTTCTTCTGTCTTTGCTTCTGCCATCGCACTTCTCGACATTTAATCGTACGTCATTAACGAACTGGGTCGCCGCATCTTTCTATATTTCATTTATTTTATTTTATTTCATTTATTTTAGTATATTATATTTAATTTAATTTAAAATAATTGAATTTTATTTCATTATATCTTTTTATTTTATTTAATTTATATCATTTTATTAAAATTATTATATTATATTTTATTTCTTTTATTTTATTATATTTAATTTAATTTATTTTATCTTTTTCATTTTATTGCCATTTTCATATTTTATTTTATTTATTTTATTTTTTATTATATTTTATTTATTTTAATTTATGTATTTCATTTAATTTAATTTTATTTGGTTAAATTTTTTATAATTTAATTAATCTTATTTTATTTTTATCTTTTATTTCAGTCTAATTCCATTTTTTTCATTTCATACTTAATATAATTTTCTCTTATTTTATTTTACTTTAAATAATTTTATTTTTTTATTTTATTTTATTTTATTTTATTTTAATTTATTTTATTTAATTTAATTTATTTTAATTTAATTTAATTGAAGTTAATATAATTTAATTTAATTTTATTTTATTTTATTTTATTTTATTTTAGTTTTTTTTAGTTCTCTTATTTTATTTTATTTTATATTATTTCAGTGTATTTTATTTTATTTCCTTTATTTTGTCTTATCATATTTAATTTAAATTAATAAAATTTAATATCTAATTTATTATTTCAGTTTATTTTATGTTTTTTATTTTATTTTATTTCTTTTATTTTAATTTATTAAATGCTTCTTATTTTAATTTACATATTTCATTTCATTTAATTTTATTTTCTATAATATATGTAAAATAAATTTAATTTAATTTTAATTAATTTTTTTTATTTGTAATATTTCTTTATATACTTTTGGTTTCTTATACCAGTATTTGCATACATAATTACATATTCTCTTCAGGGGTCTTTATTAAAATCTAATTTATCACTTTCCGCATTTATCTACTTTCAGCTTGGTCCTGCAGCCGCGGGAAGAGGCATGTTTTGCTATCAGTGTCCGCCATCGTTGCATCCATGTGGGCCGCATCCGTCACGTTTGCCTACACTGGATTATCCATTTGCAGCTACGCATCCATGTGAGTAGAGCGAAAAGTACTTATGGTATTAATATACAAATATATGCAGAAATAGATATATGTACATATTTGTGTGCTTTAGATATAAATATGAGAAAAAACTTCGTCCTTTTTACACTCTCAATATCCCTCGCCACTCATCATGCAGATACATACGACGATAAAGAGTAATAAAATTAGTTTATAACTGTAAAGGAGCAACATGAAAAGAGCATAATAAATCAGTGTACATGTGTATATGTGTCTATATGTTTACAACAAACATTACAAGCTGCGTATAAAATTAATGCATAAAAATTGGTGAAAATACGAAATGAATACATAAGACCGTTATCAGCGATGAGATAAAAAGCTATTGATAACAAACGCACGCGCCTGTGTGAGTGTGTTTGTCGATGTTTAGATCTAAACTAATTTCGGCAATTTTCGACGCACAAGCAAATCGGCTGTTAAGCATCTGCAATGACAAAAACAATCTGTGAGCGAGCATACATGCATACATGCAAACATTTGTATGTAAATACAATATGTGGCACAACTCATCTTCTGTTGTAGTAATATATGTATGTGTGTATGTAAAAATATATATGTATGTATGTTGCTGACAAGCAACACTCACCCCATCGTCGCCTTTTATCTGCCGCTACCACTTAAGCACTCTCGCCCCGCTACCATCCGCCACCATACGCCTCGGTATGTCCTGCAAATGCATTAACGAATTATTCTATTAGCCTTTTGCTCCTCATCCTCAGCGCAAGTATTCAAAATATCGAATTACAAACTTTTCCTGTTTCGGAGGGTTAAACTTTTATTCGCTGCTTTTTTCGCATTGCTCTTTCCGTTGCCATCCTCTTCGGCACTCGACAATCGGCTATCTCGATTTTCTAATGGTCTTCGATTTATTGACTCTCCTGACAGTTACTTGTCGATATTTGTGTGCGTCCACTTCTTTTTTATGTGAACATTTTGTATTTTTTAGGTTATCTTTTTTCTCGTTGCTGCTCTTCTCTTCTCTTTTATTCACTTTTGGCTATTTTTCGTGTACATATGACGCGTAAATTGAATCAGCAGAATTTGTGTAGCAATCGATTCGATTATGGGTTCGAAAATTTTCTGATTAAATTAATGGACATTGGAGATTCATCAAGTTATTCAATCAACCGCTCAACTGTGTTGTGGTAAAAATAGTTTGCAGCATTCGCTGTTTCCATGGGTTTATTGACATGTGACATGTTGATGGGTGTAATTATATACATATTTATGTACATTTGTTGAGGCTTAAAACCGTTAATTTGCTATGAATTTAGTTTTAGAGAGTATTAATGAACCTTTCTGAGGGCTCTTCTTAAAACTAAGAGAGGATAATAACCGTGCGCACTCTAAATATTTGTTATACCCAAACTCAGAGCTTTTCCTTTCTAGAGTAAATTTCTCTTCAAGTGGAGCCGGTTCCTTCCCCGAAATGAAAATCATCGTACACTTTTTCAGCTAAAATGCTTAAAGAGCTCATATAATTCACGATCTTTGCTTAAACTCGAGGTTCCAAAAATCTTATTTCTGCCAGGAGATCATCAGTAATGTATAAATTCGTCAAGGAAATCAGGAAAACAATACCAAGCAATTATCGGTATAGAGTTTTGGCCACAAACAGTCTCAACTTAGTATTTGTAAGAAGAAAAGGAGTCTTATAGATGTTGGCTGGTTGTTTGCTTGGTTGGTTGAAAGAGGGAGGCTAAACCGCAAGCGTCCGCGCGTTAGCAATTGAGAAGGTGCACTGCACTCTCCGTGTATCCCAGCTAACCGTTAGCGAAATATTCGCGCTAAACATGCGTGCCCATCGGAACTCGCAAAGGTAGTACAACAAAGTATCGTAATCCTCTTTGCATTATCTGTACATAGTCGATTCCATTTTACTTGGCTTATAGAAATGATATCTCAAGAGTAGGCGAACTATTAATACGCCCATAAGAATGCTAAGTTCTCTTTAGTCTAATAAGAAGTAAACATTTGGCCTGTAAACTATTCCCGACGTCCTACAATAATTTTAGTGGTACGTCCCACGTTGGAAGAATTCGAAGAACTTAAGTATTCCTCTGTGGCTCACTATTTTAAAAAATATTTAAAGGCGCTTATGGTTCTGACCAAGTCAAAGGTGACAACTCACAAGCGGTGCCAGCGCGAGTTAGCTTGACCGCCTTCCTTTTCATTACCGTCTGCATCCATGTGACACCATTTTCACTGTGTCTTAACACAATACTCTGTTCATTTCCCCTTTTCTCATGTTCCAAAGATTTGCGATTTTGTGTTTGCACATTTGATTTCCTTGACTGTCTACCGGAGCTCTGATAGATTTTACCATCAAAAGAATTGCCCAGTTAGTACCTTCAGTATTGCCCACAATCTTTGCTTGGAATACGTAGTTTTAGTCACTTAGTCTGAAACTACCTTATTTATTGGTGTGGTCGAAACGGAGATCTGCTTCTGTGACTTCTTCATTGTCACCTATGGACCCGCTTTCCGCCCATTCTTATCTACTAAGGAAGGATTAGGTAGCCTCTACTGGGCAGAAGGTTTCGTTTCTCGGTCGCATTTTAGGTTAGCCCAACTTCAGAGCATTCAGGCTTCTAGCTGTCAGCGCTGCTTTATTCACAAATTTATGTAGCTAATCGCGATCCACATATTTGCGTCTATGTCGTGTAAATCAAAGCTTAGTCCGTTCAACTAGTCAAGACTGATAAATGCGTAAAAGCCATGTTTGGGTGGATTTGAAAATTGTTATTGTAGCGGATAGTTAACACCGCTAAGAAGGTGGTTAAGTTAGTCAAGGCCATCACACTTGAGCTACAAGAAATGAGCCTTTTCGACAAGCTCGAAACAGAAGAAGAAAGAGGATCTAGTCGATTGGGTTTTAGTGTGGAGCCGGAATTCATTTCATGCAGGACATAGATTGAGTTTGTCGAACAGAGTCCGGTTATATAAGAGTTGCGTTTACTACGGTATTCAGTTCTTAATTGTGTCGGATTTTGTAAGGCAGTCAGACCTTTTGGTAGCCCTTGTTGTTGTATTTGTCTAAATGGAGTTCTATACTAGGTGCCTGCAAATTCAATCCGCGCTGACTACATCAGGAAATAGTGGAAAACATTGTGATTTTCAACTAAGAGTATATATGTTCCACAATGCAAATGGCTTACAAGCGACTTCGCGAAATTTCCTGCTATGGACCGCAAGTTGGTAGTCTCACAGGCTTGCAGCTTCTTCATTTGCATTAAAGTAGATTGCTAGCGACGTTTCTTTTAGTCAAGTGCTACAACTACCGACTAGAGAACTTTGTTATGGCTCTATAATTTAAGTGACAATAGCGGTCGTATGTGGATATGGCTCCAGATGAATTCTTACCTTGAAGAATTTTTTCATTCTCTTTACTTCAGCAAGATCGATGCAGATAAATACCTTTATCTCCATTATTCCTCGTTCATAATTTTATGGCAGTTTTATGGGCTTCCAGGACTGTCATCTGCTTTGATATCTTGTATAAGCTTACCAAGTGCGTCACCCCTTTCTCTTCTGCACTATAAACTACGGCTATAACCGAGTGGTTAGCATTACGAACTTACATTCAGAAGTCCAGGGTTCGAGACCTAGTTTGACCAAATATGGAAAATCATAGAAATTTATTTTTCTAACTGCGGTCTTCCTCCACAAGGAGTTTGAAACCCTCACAGTGTATTTCTGATATGAAAATCAAAGCTCCTTATAGAAATCCCTCAGCCGTTCTGAGGCGGCATGAAATAAACTGTAAGGACCTGAATTTGTTGAGAAAATATCAAGAAGCCCACCACAAATTGTTAGAGGAACTCAGCCGAAAATCACACACAAAAAGAAATATTCAGATTTCCGATCCAATTTTGGATTATCTATTCAAAGCAGGTACATCAGGATCTTTTGGATTTTTTTTTTATAAATATATTATTAGGAAGGGAACGGGTAGCCTTCGTCCTTTTGCAGCTACAAGAATTTCACCTCCCACAAGCGCATACTTAGAATTAGCAAGGGCAAAAAGTAAAGAAAATCAATGTTAAAGTCTTGAAATTTATGACAATCTTCCATTTCCACTTCCAAGTACTCCCTATTGAAAGAGGCTCTTTTAGATTTTGGTCTACAGTACTCGAACCCAAAACAATCGACTACTGCTGCCGCCGATATCATTTGGTAAATTCTAGAATCTTTGAACAGGCTCTAAGCCGCGTAAAGATTCTGGTTTGGCCGAGTCCTTAGCTTTAAAAAGGTCGTGTGACCTTTTCTCTCTTGGGCTATATCAAAAGTTTTCCACATTTGGGAAATTCAACTCATTGGGGTGTGACCGCTCTCCTCAAGTTGAGATCGGAGCATTCCACTTGAAATTCCATGCAACACCTTACCTTCGTGGCATCTGCTTCAATACTAAAAGCTCTCCTGCAATATCATCAGTTATGAATGATTAAAATTGCATCTCCACCAAGGACAAATTCCAATGCACGTCATAACGATAAGTATGCACTCCCGCAAGTGCTTTGGTTCACCAACAACAAATCATTGAAAGAAATCGAATTGACTACGATTTATTCGATTTGAGTTGAGAGCAGTGAATTCTCCATACAAAGCCATTACAATCACAGCTGAGATCGAAGGACAAACAAATAACAACTTCTGCAGCTAAGGAGTGTCGTACACGAAGCAAAAGAGCAAAATAAAAACAAATATTTTCGTTCCTTATTTAAGCAATTATCCACATAACACAGTGATTGCATGGGATGGCAAGGAAGGAGGAGGGGTGCTGATGAGATGTAGGAGACAGCGAAATTGTGTAGACACTTGCAGGGTGTTAATTTCATTGGAATGCGCTTGAAAAGTATGCAAATTGCTGTTGGTGAGGAAAGTGGCGTAAGTACTCTACACATACACATACTGCTATGTAGTAGACATAAATAAATAATGCACGCGAATATGTATGACATATGTGT